TATTATATATTAGGCCTGGCAACACTGGCTAAGGTTGTCAACAACAGTTTGTGTTTCCTAGTTGTTATTAGGTAGATGTTGCTATTCATTTCCCGATTTATTTTCTTCCGTCGCCTCTTACAAAACCAACGAAACAATATTTTTTTTTTATAGGAAAAGGATGACAAACGAGCACACAGTCCACCAGATGGTAAGTAGTTGCTGTGGCCCATAGACATCTACATCTATCCTCGATTACGAATCAAAATGCAGGTGCGTTGTCACCCGTGAGGGCTAAGAAGGAATGTCTCCTTTCCAGTAAAAAGGGATGGGGTAGTGGATATTCTTATACCGCTACTGTACAGTTGGCACAATTATTGAAACCCCCAAAACATATTCTTCGTCATCATATTGAGAAACCTTACCTCCCACTCACGCTGTTTCGTACGCGCTTGACATATATGGGATACCTATATCACCACATATTAATATGCAGGCTGTATGTAGCTACTGCACTGAGTGATTGAGAGCATTTAGTACCTATCCATAGATATTCAACATATCTATAATTGCCCATAATTTTGACCATAAACGCTTTAATCGCGTACTTTGATGAATATAGATAAACGCCGCTCATTTTCAATGGAATCTCAACAGCTTGGTGACCTGCAATTAGGCAGGAATCTGACTCTTTACCGCAGACCTATGTGTATCATACTGGGTCACATACTTGGCATATACTAACATGTAACATGTTGGTCTGTGGATTTATGGGCTCCTTATTTATATGCTATTTATAACATTAAGAATGTGCCCGCTGTGGAACTTACCTAATTTGACTCTTACCACATTTATCTCTTATTACACAATATCTCACCCTGTAATTCAGATTCAACCCTACCGTACTCCTTAAAGACCGCATTTCTACAGCATTTATTCTACTTTCGTTCTTCTTCTGCCGCACCCAACTTTCACTACCATACATTAATGTAGGGATTAACACAGCTTTATGAATTCCCATATGTGTCTTTTTTGACACATTCAGATTTTTCATAATAGAGTTTAGTGCTCCCTCTTCATTCACTTTATTCCCTGCATTTACTCGTCGTTTTCCCTGCTAAATACACATCCCAAATACACGAACTCATCGCCACACCCTCTCTTCAAAACCATCACTTTCATCGTACTCCACTATCCCCTCTGCCAGTCAAATGTAACCATCATTAACCACCACCCACCACTAATCTTATCATCCGCTTTTGACGGTTAACTCGCCCATTAAAATAGCGACTAATGAAAAAACACTTATCACGTCTTTCACAAATTTTTAATAGAATAAGGCTGACAAACAAACACACAGTCCACCTGATGATAAATGGATGCTGTGCAATACAGACATCTACATCTATTCTCGATTAAGAATCAAAATGCAAATGCGTTTATACTCCTGAGGACTAAGATGGAATGCTTCATTTCCAGTAAAAAGAGTTCCGGTTCTCTACACTCACCATACGAAATATAGTGACATTAAGCTGTTATTTGACGCTGGTGTTCTGGGAGAACGTGGTTTCCTGCTCTTCATGCTACAATCAATATAGCTCTATCTATATAATACAGCATCACTTACCATCAGGTGTACTGTGTGCTCGTTTGTCACCCTAATTCTATAAAAAAGAAATTGACAATTGTCGCTAAGAGAGTGAAGTTGTTTGTAAACGTTTATTAAAGATGTTAAAAATTTATCAGCTAAGATCCGCGTAGTATAATAAAATGATGTGTCTTAACTAGTTTGAAGAACCTCTCTCCTGTTCTCTATGTATTGCGTGCGTACCGTGTAAGTGAAACAGACTTAGCGGTCAGCCACTGCAGATTGAGCTGAGGACGACTCGTTTAGAGGCAAAACACGTTTCGTATCATCGACGGTGCGGTGGTTTGTCTTTCCTAGTGTAGTGATGTTGGGAGTAGTGGTGTTGGGATTAATGGTGACGGGGATAGTGCGCGCTATTGAGAAAGGGCTTTATGGGCACTTCAAACTAGGTACGACACATCGTTTTTTATTTTATTATGCGAATCTTATCTGATTAACTTTTAACATCTTCATTTAATATTTGATAGATTTCCGCAGAGTAACGCCTGATTCTATTAATAATAGAGTTATTGCGATTTGCGCATAGAATTTAGTATTAAACTAGCTTGCCAGGTAAACGTTGTTCTGTCTTTTCGACGACCCTTTGTCATGTCCTACTAATAATCTTTAATTTCGCAAAAAAAATTGCTCACCCCTACCTCTTGATCATAATAAAAATCTAAGTAGTAGAGTCCCCTAACACTGACACGTAATTTATATATATTAAGATTAAGAACAATTTTTTTCTCTCTTTATTTTTGCACAAAATGTCATTAACAAAAAAAAATAGATAATCTGAACATTAACTAAAAAAAGTTAAAGAGTGCCCAAACATTCATATTTTTCTTATATTAATGCCTCGTTGGTCTAGTGGTTGTAATAGTGTGACTGCTGATCAGATCCCGGGTTCAAATCCCGGGTCGGGCCAAAAAAATTAATTATTGAATTTTTCTGTCAAGAAATTCTCAGTAGCTGCCCGGAGTCAGGAAGTTGGCGGTGTCTCACCCCCGTGCCTTGGAAAGTACGTAAAGCCGTTGGTCCTGCGCCTGATCTCTCTCCGGTCGTGTCAGTTTACACTATGGTGCCAAACACACACAGTTATAATCCTGTCCTGCGCCGATGGCTAGTCTCCGTTGAGGCAGACCGCCGTGACCGAAATTTGGTTCGGAGGACATTATTATTATTAGTACTTATGAAAAGACTCGTTTGTCACCCTATCATATAAAAAAAGACTTAAGTAATAATTTGCTTTTTTTAATGTATGTCGCATGCTAATCAACCTCAATTAATGATAGTTGATGATCTTACTTACTTAGGTTTGGTATTAATAATTAATCTGGTGTGTCTTTCTATTGTCAATTAGTGAAAATGCAGAGATAGCGCAACTTTGAGCAGTTCTTAAATTGACCAAAATATTTGTGAGTGAGGCCGATGACCTCAAAGACTCAGGCTCAACAAGATATACACGTGCGTTCACTAAACCTGGATAACAGTACGCTCTCAGAATTTTCGTAGTCAGGATGTTTGTGCGTGTTAAGCAAACATTTGCACAAATACTATGCCAACTACGATTTTTTTGTGTAGATTTACCAACGGTCTAAGGTCAAACAGAAAGAAAGGTAGAACGTAAGATAGAACATACGCTTCGAGTTTGATTGTCTCGTTGCTCAAGTAGTCGTAAACGCGTCTGCTGATTATGTGGTCACGGGTTCAAATCCCGGGTTGTGTCCAAAATTAGTTAGTTATTCTGTCGAGAAATTCTGAATATTAACCCAGAGTCAGGAAGTTAGTAGTGTTTCAGATCTGTGCCTCGGAAAGCACGTAAAGCCGTCGGTCCTGCGCCTGATCTCCCTCCGACCGACCGAGGAGACGGCGAGTACACACGTGCTTGCACACAGACTCTTGCGTGAGGGAAATATGGAGTGCACGTGTGAAGACATCGAGGTCTTGTCGGCCGTTCGCGTATTCGATACTCTTGGCTGAAGTTTGCTGCAGGTGCCCATAGACTATACACTAGACTCCACCTGGTCGACTGTGAATTCGTTTGTAACTTCAGATATATAAATAAAAATATTAGTAAACGTAAACTAACAAATTATCTATATTTTTATTTTTGATATATATGTGTTTTCAAAGGTGGAAATATCAACCTTGACGCAAAATTGCACGTAAACACAAACACGCACGAAAATGCAACGCAATTTGACCCTTATATGTAAGTACAGTATTAGTGTTAATTGCATTTCATTTCTTAAAAGCCGCTGCGTAGATGGTACTTGTGGAAAGTCTAGGACCAAAACATAGAAAGTAGCGGGTAATGTATTATTAAAATGTTAATTTTATAAATATTATAAATAAAAACCTAATTAAAATTATTAAAATGGCCTTTAACTATTTTAGGTAAGGCGAAAATATGCGATGTATTATGCTCGCAGTACAAATTATTCGGCTTAACCTGGGAAGTACTGCGCCTGCAATGAATGCCAGCACGATATAGCAGCATAATAATAGCCCTTTTTACTGGTAAAGTAACCTTCCATCTTAGTCTTCAGCGGTGACAAAGCTTCTGCATTTTGTTTCTTACTAGAAATTATATGATCATATGGACCACGATATCCATCTATCATTAGGTGGATTGTAAATCATTTTGTAGGGCATCTTTACTTAACTTCGACTTCTGTATAAGAAAAGTTTTAGTCATATTCAATATGTTTCCATATGTTATATAAATAAAATATCAAATCATTTTCTGATTAGGTCCGTACAGAATCATTTGAGGCAGGTAGTTCAGGGTCGTAACGATCCAGTCTTTGCATTATATATTTCTTCTCCTTCTTTGACACGTAATTGTTTGCTGCTGAGGATGACGTGAGGATTCTTTTATTTTATAGAGACTTCTAAAAAGACTAAATCATCGTGTTTGGTAGGATTGACTGTCGTATTACTTACCATACGTTTCCTTTGACGCTTCTTTCTGTCGTCAGTTTGGGATGGCTTTAAAGAAATGGTTATATCCCAAAGTCATCCTTTACAACATCCATCGGACTAGATGGGGCGATAGATTTTCTTACGGTGCCTTTACATGGAAAGTCATACATGTAATATATTTATTTATGTAGCTTGTAGAAATATCTCATTCAACAATGCAGAAACAACAAAAAAATTTTTTATTCATTCCGTGCTGTCTCGCTCAACACCAATACCGTAAGCGTTGCAGTATCAAAATCTACTGCTGAACATAGAACTCGCTCTTTAATTATGGTTAATATATTGTATAGTTCAAAAACTTATATAACATCGTTTAAGTATATTTGCAGATTAATTTAAAATGGGATTGTGTTCATTAGAAGAAAATTCGTGATGAAATCGCTGTCAGCTTATTAATCGTGCCAACCTCTAACAGTCAAGTAGTGCTCGTAATAAGCGATTTCCTCCATTACGAAACGCCGCGTCCGTTCCTCAGAAAATCGCAACTATAGCTATGTAATGTCAATATGGGTTTACTAAATGCCTCAGTTAAATGTCTTTTTATCTACGCACTATTATCTAAACACTTTTATCGACGGAGCCAATACCGCGAACGTCGTTTATACTGAATTTAGACCCCTCCTTCGACATTTTTGTTTTGGTAGAACTTAAATTACGATTTACAATAATTTTAACAATCTGTTAGTCGCAGGTAGCATTAAATAATTTAAAGCGTTAAAAATACATTAGCTAAGATCCAGAAAAAATTAAATCATGTGTCTTACTTAGTTTGAAGAGCACTTCCGCCCTCTCTTAATTGCGTGTTTTATCCCTGTTAACATGAATCCCACTACCACTACTGCCATTACTATTAAACTAGGAAGGACACACAGTTGACGATAATACGACACGTGCTTCACCTCTAAATAAGGCATCCTCAGGTGAAGTAGACTCTACGGTGGCAGACCGCTAAGATCTTTTTTTTAACTTTTCTAAGCCAGCACTTAGCTACAATCCCACATGACAGAAAGTGGTGATGTAGCTTAAGATGGAAAAGCACACTGACTTAACAAAAACCTATTCACTCTTGACTTGAAGACACCCACATTGTAATCGTATGGAAAGACAGATGCTGGCAACTTATCAACCACTCCTTAGCTGTACGCATGACGAACGACGTAGCAAACCGTTTGGTTCGAATGCGTGGTAAGTCAACAACGAAAGGGTGGAAGGGAGAGGGAGGAATTAAATTATTCAATTCCTGCGCACACTCTCTCGATCATTTAGTTTTTAACATCTTTACTGTAATGCATTTTCGCAAAGCAACAGACTGCGCACGTCGACCTCGTCGTCCGTAGAGCACGATGTGCGCGGGCGATGCTACGTCCGGTCCTGGCATCCAAGCTATCACTTAACACCAAAGTGCGAGTATACAAAACCTACATCAGAGCCATTATCACCTATGCTGCTCCGGCCTGGTACGCGCTTCTGAGCGAGCCTCTGAGGCGGCGACTGCAGGCCCAGCAAAATATGGCGTTAAGAACCATCGTCGGTGCGGGTCGCTACGTCCGGAATGACGTCATAGCGGCCAACCTGAAGATTGACACCATACAGGAATTTGTGGCCCGGTTGGCGCGCGGACTGTTCGACCGTGCAGACAACGGGCCGCATATACATCTTAACAACTTTGCGCCGCTACACACTCGCCCTCCGGACGGGCGACCCTATCCAAGAGAACTCCTCTCTATATCGATTAGAGAGTCGAGTAACAACCCTCAATGCCGCTGAAAGGCCAACTCCGACTTTAATAGATAACCTCCTTTTTTCGTAGTCATAACCGACTACGAAAAAATAACCGATAGCGACAACCGTTTGACACCTACAATGCCATTAGAAGGCTCCCAGGACCGGTCCATAGTAGTGGACCGCGAGGACAGCACGGGTAATGGGGGCTTACCCCGAGGCCCGAAACCTCCATGTGCCTAAAAGACACATGAAGAAGACATCAACGCAAAGCAACACATAATTCTACTAATTAACTAATTCATTACCCAAAATACCGGCCATTGTGTTTGCGATGATGTCATATCTGCAATATGTAAATTAAATAAAATTAAAGTTCAAAGAGCCGTGGTAGCTCAGTGGTTAACGCTCGCTGTAAATATAACAGAACGCGAGTTCGATCCCCGCCGGCACCAATGAAATTGTTAATTGCAATTTTAAGTGCTGATTTACCACGTGCTCGGCGGTGAAGGAAAACATCGTGAGGAAACCTGCATGTCTGAGGAATAAGAAAAAAAATATTTCGAAGACATGTGAAGTTCGTCAACACGCATTTGGGCAGCGCGGCGGACACTTCCTTGCCCTAAACCCTCTCAGAAATGAGGGGAGGCCTGAGCCCAGCAGTGGGACGTATATAGGCTGTAACTTTACTTTTACTTACTAAAGTTCAAATGATGCGAAAAGAATCAAGTTTTTTATAATGCACTTGTAACAGGTCAGGGTGTGTTTTCTATAAACCGTATAATGGTAGCTTGCTTATGCGTAAGGTCTTTCCATATTGCCAGTGATGGAATTTTTCTTATTTATTATTATTATTATTATTTATACACATAAAAAGGCAGACATATATTTGTGTATTTAGTCAGTTTGTGCGAAGCCACAATTTATTCTGTAAAATATGTTCAAAAGAAGAGTGTGCGCAGGAATTACATGTAGAGAAAAAGAGGAAAGAGGCAGTAAAGGAGTGAAATAATTTACTGGCGTCTGTTTTTTCATCCGGAAACAATCAGGAATCTCTTGCGTCGAAAACACCCTGTATAATATATAAACACTCCTAACACAAGTGTTTTTGCTCAACAGGAGTGGTAAAGGGACATATTAGTAATGTTAATAAAATTGCTAGTATTTCTATTTAAAAAAAAATTATAAGCGCTACTATAGTATCCATCTTATGTGAAACGTCTATATGAGGTTGGTAATAAAAGATCTGTTTGTTTCAGTCGGACCTTGTCTAAAAGCATACAATTATAACTAATCGGAAAACTACTATGAGGACTGTCAGGAAACACAATTGATAATTTACGGCCTAACAATAATGCTGGCTAATGATTTCTAGCCTTTCAGTCAGACCTAAGCGTCTAGTTATCCTTAAGCACCGTCACCGCTAACAGCGCCACCTGTTGGGCCAACTATGTATATAACCTTCGCGGAAGTGCAAGAAATATGTTGACAAATTTTTATTGCAATCTGATGAACCGTATGGCAACGCATAAAATACGAATTAACAGAAAATAATTTTTATTATTAAAAAGATAAATATTACATATATAAAAAGTTAAAATACAGCATATATACGTCCCACTGCTGGGTACAGGCCTTCCCTCATTACTGAGAGGGAGGGATTCAGGGCAAGGAAGGGTCCGCTGCGTCGCCCCAATGCGTGTGGATGAACATCACATGTCTTTGAAATTATTTTTTTTATTTCTCAGACATGCAGGTTTCCTCATGATATTTTCCTTCACCGCCGAGCACGTGGTAAATCAGGACTTAAAATTGTAATTAACAATTTCATTGGTGCCGGCGGGGATCGAGCTCGCGTTGCTCGCGTACTGTGAAATTTACAGCGAGCGCTAAACATTTGAGCTGCCACGAATATACTATATAATAACTGCATTTGGCGGACCAAAATCAGTTATTGCGTTTTTTTATCTGAGAAATTCTCAGAAGCAGCCAAGAAGTTGGCAGTTTTTGGTCCTGCGCCTGATCTCTTTCCGGTTGTGTCGGATAGCAAGTTCAACCGTGCTTGCGCCCACGCTCGTGCACTATAACCTTGTCCTGCGCAGATGGCTATTCTCCGTTGAGTCTGGCTGCCGTGACTAAAATTTGGTCATAAAGACTTATTTGCTTAGTTCATATGTAGGATGAACTTAGTTAAATTTTTCTATAAGCCAATCTCGTTTGCGGGTGACGAGATTCTGGCAAGCCTGATATTTTTATAGAAAAGAGGGCAAACAAACATGCGGCTCACCTAACTGTAAGTTATTACCGCCGCTCGGTAATAATGGTGGATGCCCCGAGGCTCGAGATATGCGGTGCAATGATGCACACGCAGACAACAAAGTAGTCCAGAGAATTTGAAGGTGCGTCGCTGGCCTATTAGAAAAAAGTAGGCTCTTTTTTCTAATAGGCCAAAATCTTTCTTTTCTTTGCTTATGGACTTTTTTTTATAGAATAAGGGTGACAAACGAGCACATAGTCCACCTGATGGTAAGTGGATGCTGTGGCGCATAGACATCTACATCTATCCTCGATTACGATTCAGAATGCAGATGCGTTGTCACCCGTGAGGTAAACATATCTCCGGTTCTCTATACTCACCGTACGAAACACAGTAACATTGATTGAGTTGCTATTTCACGCTGCTATTCTGTAAGAGAGTGGTCCTACCCCGGTCGAGCCGACCCATTCGTGCTCCAACTATACTATTAATATAGCTGCAGCATGGCTCCTCCACGTATAAACGATATGATATGATATACGATTATGCTTTTGCCAGTGTTGAGTAAAAATAAATAATCCTTTATAATATTTTGTTTCAAAAACTTCTTTGCGAAACTATCGATGCGTTACAGCGATGTAGTTCTTGGGAGATTTTGGCGACAGCTTAACCAAACATACGATGACGATAGCTACTTAAGGCGCTTAAGCTGACAAAAATCCCGGAGGTTTATATCTACATCAGATCACTTGTTTCGTAGTTTCTACTAAAAGTTCACATACGCAGACATTAAGGCCCGCTACACACTACATACGGAATTCCGTTTCGGAATTTCTTTACTTTGAAATCTGCTTTTCCGGAAAATTTCGAACGGAAAACTATCGTAGGTAGGTGTGTGACAGTTACTTGATTTTATATGGAATTGTTGCGTTTGGAGTCCCGAATAGTTTTTTTAGAAGAGGGGGCAAACGAGCATGCGGCTCACCTGAAGGTAAGTTACTACCACCACCCATGATCATCCGCAACACCAGGAGAATTGCAGGTGCGTTGCCAGCCTTTCGGAAAGGAGTAAGTTTTTTTCTTGAGAGTCCCTAAGTCGTATCGTATTCGGTACAGAAAAATCGCCGGTGGTAAAAGATTCCACAGCGAAGTTGTACGAGGAAGAAAACTCGACGATTACGATAGCTTTTTAATTAATGTTTATACTCAGTATTTGTCATGAATAAATACAACCCTAAGTCACAATATGAGTCAATAAACAATTTCCGAAGCACTCAGCGAATTCCTTAAGCAAATATGGACGAGGAAACGATAGTGAGAGTTTCTGATGATGACAAAGAAAAAAAAACAATCAACAAATTACTCACCACTGGCCGAGAGCCAAGTACATCCGAAGGACGGCCGGACAATGGGACTCAGTATGAAGCTATGTAAGCTAAGGACTTGGCGAAATATTTTATGTTATATTGT